TGTACACGTGTTTGGGGTCAGCAATATTCACTGCGGTATTATTTCCTGTGATGTATAAATTAGCCACCTTGCCTCTGGACCGCAGCGAAAGGAAAACAGAAAGAATGAGGACCAGAAAGCTTTGCTTTCCAGCCCTGAGCTAAGTGACTATGAGGAAGATGATGAAGAGGAGGATGCAGAAAAATGGAATGAAGTTGATTTTGCAGTGGTTGAAATGCATGATAGAATGGGGCCGTCTGTCATTCAGACATTTAGGAATATTTTGTTGGGGCCCATAGTTTATGGATTCAACTAATTCTTCTCAAATGCAATGACATTTAATTTTTCTACAGTGAAAATTGGTGATTCCTGCAAGGAGCACCTTGTCAGAAACCAGTGTAAAATAGACTAACTCTTTAGAGCAAATGGATTACTTTCTAGCTCTGTACAATCTGGAGTAATTGTGCCTTCTAAATATCCCAGTCAGATCTGCCCTTCAACAGATTGTTAGCATGTATTGGGAATAACAATTGCTGCATCCATGTACAGCAAATATTTACATGTTCTCCAGTTCCCAGAGACTTCTATAAACTATCAAGTGTCATGATATAGTAGGGTCATGTAGGAGATTAGTATTCAGCATTAGATTATTAGATAATATTTTATACTTTTGAGAGTATGCAAAGAATTCATGTTTGAAAAAATGTGTACTGTCTAATAGAGCAAAATCACAAAGGAGTAGAGTGAATGTGCTGTGCAAATTATCAGGTATCCATATTTTGCTTAGGATTTAGGGAAGAGTGGTGTTATGAACTAGTGTCTGGAATTTAGGCACACATTTTAACCAATTGCTTTATCCTATCTGTATGGCTTGGCCAAAGAATACTAATGACACTGATTTGTTATTTCTGTGAGGAGAACATAGAACAGGTGAAGAGACCTGACTTTAACATCTGAGTGTTCCTTCTGTCTATACACTGTGACACTTAAGCCTTGTTTATCTCATGATCTATGAGACAAAAATTAGATAAATTAAAAATTGAGAAACCCATTGGTTTTTAAGTTTGTACAAGATGACTGCCTGAAGAGTCCAGTGTTTATTTCAAAATGAAAAGTGAAACCAAAAAAAATGATAAATTGTTTTAAGAATGTGCTACTTCTTATGAATACATGTAAATTTAATATTATTTATGTTTAATCATCGTTTGCATAATTCTCTAAAGAATGTAGTTTTAAGTGCTACATTTGATCCATTCTGAAATATGCATTTTCTCATATAACATCTGTTAAACAGGTATGTGTAACCTGATCAATGATCATTTAACATTGTGACAAATTAGAACAGTTTTTCCTTATAAATATGTAAAAATGTTACATGTGATAATCAGTGTCTTACATTTAGAGAAATAAAGTAATTCATTCAATTGTGCAGATTAAATTATTTTTAGAGACAATCTTAAGAGATATGTTATCCTTCTTATTTTGAAACAAGGTTTCATTGTGTTGTCCAGGCTGGTCTCAAATTCCGAGGCTCAAACCATCCAAACCTAACAGCATAGAGAGGGCTGGCCCAGAAAGTGGAAGTAAAAATCCTGTTGCTTTATTTTTTAAACCATGTTTCCCACTTTAGCTTGAGCTTAGAAAGCACCTGTGCTTCATTTGCTGGTTTTCCCCAATCTGTAGGGCTTTAACCAGTAATAGTAGTGTGGCTGATGGGAGTCTTGATATAAGAGGGATATTATTCTCAGCATCTACTTTTAGAGGGTAGAAGATAGAGCCAAGGGAGAGATCATGGTAGTAATAACATGACATAAGACTTGGAAATCTACACTGGAAAATTCACTCAGATTCTACACACTAAATGTGAATGGACATTGTCTTAGGATTTTAACATGCTCCTACATGATGTGGTGCTGCTGGCGCATGGACCCACTTTGGATATAAAGGTTACCTTTTTGAAGTATGGAATACTTTGCTGCACATAGGAGTTTTGTTTGTTTTTGCTTTAAAATTTAAAAATTTGACCCTATTATATCATTAGAAGGCTACAGTCCCTGTGTACTTCTCCACAGACCCTATACCATGTACTGTAACCCTAAATGTGCTTCAGAGCTCTAAAACAGTTATCTTTATCCTTCTCCCTTTACCTTGTGGACTCTTGGTCTTCTGCTTCAAGTTCATGGAGCATCTCTGTCAGGGAACACGGTGGACACTGATGAAAACATCAAAGGCCACTTCCTTTACAGAACTTCCCCTCTAACGTAGCACTGTCCAGTAAAAGTTGCTATGATGGTAGAGATGTTCTTTATCGGCCCTAGTCAGTAATACTACTGGCCACATTTAGAGTGAATTTAGCCTTCAAAATATGGCTAGTATGACACCAAATGCATTTTTAATCTAAATTGAGATATTTTCCTTAGCTAGTTGCTATTACATTGGAAGCTTAGTCCAAGAAACAAGGCATCAAATTATTAATCAGAAAAGGTGTTTCCAAGAAGGATTTATTTCCTGTGGTCATGGAAATTAATATGTTTCAGGGATCAGAAAGGTTATATAGGCACTTTATTAGATGGCATACTATAAATTATCATAGCCTTTGAGAAAGGTTTAGTCTTATTAAGTCATGATGATAGAGAATGGAATTTAGTGGTCTAAAAAAGAAGGGACATAAAAAGGATTAAGATGTGTTATGTACATATACCAACTCCCCACAATGAAAATAATCATTATGCACTACAAATGTGCTAATAAAAGTAAAAATTGGGAACCTCAACACCCCCCACAGATGGAGGAGTAGCCCACGCTATGTATAGTGCTCACCCACTGCCAACTCTGCACCTCCAGATTCTGCTGCCTGGCTGGGCCACCCACTGCATCCAAGCCTGACATGTGCTTTGTTTTCCCTGGGCACTAGGCAGAAGAAGCATGGACCAAACCACCAACCAGAACACAGACAAGGACAATGCCCCAGGAAAAAAAGGTAAGCCCATGAGAGTCCATAAGACACCTGGCCTACAGGGTTAGCCCCAGAAAAACCCATGGAGAAAATCACAACTTGCTGGATTCCAAGACTGCAAATCTTGGAAAGAAACCACTCATTTGAAAGAGAAAGAAAAAAAAAAAAAAAAAAAAGAAGAGAACTGTGTTATGTACCTCTACCAGTTCCTTACAGTGAACATAATTATGAACTGGGAACATGTACTAATAAAAGTAAAAAAAAAACAAGACATCCAAAAACACAGAGGAATTTTTTTAATTGATTAATTTTTTTCTTTTTCCTTCATTGGTATTTTGGGGTTTGAGGTTTAGTCTCTCTTTTCTCTTTTCTCCTTTTAACATTTTTTCCTTCTCCTTTTTCTTTTTCTTTTGTTTACTTTATTTTGCTCTGTTTCTTTTATCTCTATTTATTTGCTTATTTATTTATTTATTTGCCTTTTTGAGACAGGGTTTCCCTATGGAGTTCAGGCTGGCCTTGAACTCACTTTGTAGCCCAGATTGGCCTTGAACATGCAGTGATCCTCCTGCCTTAGCCTCCTGAGTGCTGGGATTACAGGTGTGCGCCACCACACTTGGCTCTTTTTTCTTCTTTTTCATGTTCTTTTTTCCTGTTGTTGTTACCTAATACGTTAATTTCGTTTTACTCTTCAGTAGGATTGCCTATCTAATTTTTCTTTCCTTTTCCTCATTTTTCATTAGTTAATATTTCAAATTTTAGTTTTCTCATCTTCAGTTTCCCATTCCTTCCATCTTTACTAGTAGAACCATTAACCTTTAGGAATTGTTAGGTAGTTAACTCTATGCTATTACTGTTAAATACTGTTCTACTGTTAGCAGTGGTATAATTGTTACATTTAGTAGATATTTACTGTATGTCAACATTTGATTTTTTAATGTTTATACTATAATTGTAGATCTCTTTTCTATGGTAAAGGGTCATATATTATTCATTCTTAGGGTATGTCAATGTCTCATTTGTTTTTGACACTATTATTGATGCTGATATTATTACTATAGCTAAGGTAAATTTTGTTGCTGTTAATTGGTTTTCTCTGTATGCCAATATCTAGATTGCCTTTGTGTCATTAATAATATTATGTCCCATTCTTGGAGAATTGGGTACTAAGCCAAATATGCTGCAGCCTCCCCACCCAAATAACAGAGTTAGCTGAATCCTGGGACACAAGTAAAAGCCTATAATTAGCCATGTCCTAAGGGCATCAGACATAACTAAAGGTCTCCCTGCTAACAACAGAGCCTTTCACTATAATCAACCCTCAAACCTAGCACAAAAAACCAACACACAAATAGAAACATGAAAGTACAAAGCAACAAATTACCGCCAGAAACTGCAAACTCCACCAAAGCTGATTCACAGGGCCTATACCAGAGGAAGTTAAAAAAAAAAAAAACCCAGAGCCAAATTAAGTAAAAATAATTACAAAAAAGATAATAAACAAAATCTATAAGGTGCTTGATGAGCATAAAGGAGATATAGCTAAACATAAAGTAGATCTAATAAATGAAAAAACCAGCAAGTCTGTGGAATACACTAATAAAAAGCTAGCTGAGCTAAAGAAAACAATACAAAATATAAATGTTCAGTACAGAAAATCAGAGTCCA